CAAGTTGCCCAAGGAAACGACAGATTATCTGAAGGCCTGGTTGCATCGTCACTCAGATCATCCATACCCAAGCGAGGAGGAGAAAAAGCAACTTTGCCATGCCACTGGATTGAGCATGAGCCAAGTGTCCAATTGGATGATTAATGTCCGCATCTTCTATCTATCCTCCTCGTCATTCAATTAACCAACATAATTCGCAGGCTCGTCGCAGGATTTTAGCTCCCGCCCACCGAGCAGCACAGGGACCTACTACCTCTGCCCCATATCCCTCTTCCACTCGCACTGTGCCCGCTTCCTCACTCTTAGATCCGGTTGCGCGTCGTGCTTCACTGCCTGCAGAAAGTCTGCAGTTGTATCACCCCATGTCTCTCCAGTCGCTGCAAGGAGGCCACGGCCACCAGAACTCAGCGTCTGCAGAATTCGGCGGAAGTGGCCGACAACTTCTCGCACGCCCAGCTCACTACACTGGTGGTGGTGGTGGCGGCGGCGGCAGTCTAGACTACTCCCAGAATAGACTTGGGCTGTCCACTTACAATCTTGGACACAACCATCACTCTGGGAGTGGAGGGCAGTCCGGCTATCTTCCATCAGGCGTTCCGATGTCCGCACCCCCCTCCCTTCCACCCAACCCTTTTGGGTCTCACAATATGCACAATCAATCCTCGTTGTATTCTGCACAGCATCACCATTCGTCGTTGTCTCCTGGCTTCATTTCAAGCCCATCCCAGAGCTCGCCGAGGTTGCCCGCCCATTCGGCGGATTCGCAGTCGCATTCCTACTATAGCGAAGGACCATTGCATCCATCTGTAAATGCTGGGCCTGCTTATTCAGCTCCACAGTGACCACGACGCTGTAACAACATTGAATCCTATGTGGATGCCTTTGTTTTATCGAAAAACAACGTTCGTGTAACAATATTATTATTACTGACTACCTAAAGCAACCTAATCATTGTACTACTCGTATCAACTTCTTGAGATCACACATTCCAGCCTTTGCCAAGTGTTCTTCGTTGGCCACTAAAATTGCACATCCCAATAAAACAATTAAATTTTTGTTCACCGGGTTCGGGCCCAGTCTGTTGCGACGTGTTTCTCCCACTGCGGTGTTGCACATGATCCTGCGGAACCTCTACACCTCGTGTCTGCCGCTTGCAGCCGATTTGATTCTTGATTCCTGTGTTCTAGGGTTCTATCTCTCAGCGCGCTGCTTCTTATGCTGAGCCCGGATCTCCCTTTTTCATAATGAAATCTGGGTACTGCGAAGTCCTATAGTAATCAGACCGTTACCTGCATTATTTGATATTAACACCTCGGGATGTGATATTTCCCCATTCCGGCTAGGTTCCGGACCGTCTGATGGCAGTGTGCGATTGAGTTGGAACGTTCGGGATCACCATCATTCGGCGCTAAGGGCTGGCGATTTGCTAACTCAGGACACCCACTTCATTTTACCTGCTCAGGAAAATACGTTCCGAAAGTTTGCAGAAGATGCCGTGGATCAATCCGCAAGCTCGACCGCTGGAGTCGACTCATCGCCGATCATCATGACCTAACCGAAGCTAACCGCAAAAGGACTGTCCTCATATGTACGACACGGTCGCGGTACACTGGTGAGAAATGGGCGACAGTGCGGAGGGCCCAGATCACCATTTGTGCACCTCCTTCGATCCGTTGACTCCTTCGTTACGGCGCGCCAAGCGCTTTGACTTTATCACATTTAGGACGGGAGCGTGTACATGCTCACGTGAGGGCAAAAGCTCCTGAAAACGGCCACCGCCCCGTTGGGATGGCTACGCATCGCCTCCCATTATCCCATTGAAGGCGCTTCAGGAACTCCACTCCGCGCTCGATTCAGTACAACAATGATGTAAAGTGCAGGAACGGTGTGGCGTCACTTTAGCCTTCATATCTGACTTTAGTTCATTTGTGCGGAGAAAATGCACCGCACCGTACGTACTATTGGTATATTGATTGCACAGCTATCGAGAATGGAAAGGGGAAGATCACGCCAAAAAAACAATGAGGAATAATAGTATCTCAAAAACACACCCAAAGATTGCCCAAAAAAACATATAGATAACTGGCAAGGCACCTCTCCCATCCTTCGCTTAAAAGGTCGAGAACGACAATCAGGCGAAGCGCATACGACATGACTTGCCGTTGGTCTCTCATGCGTGAACTGGCCGCCGAAAATCGGTGTCAAGAATCCTCGAGAGGGTACGAACCTGGCAAAATAGGTGGTGGTGGGTACTTCCAGCAACCCTGGCGTGAATTTACGATGCCGTACTTGATACGCGCGCAGTGACAAGATTGATGTCATCCTTCGATGCGGGATAAATGACATGTAGCTTCCAGAACATGGCCTCTGATTTTACCACAGGGCGAAGGACGACACTGCACGAGAGAAATAGCTACAGCGTGTGTCATACCGCAGGAATCAAAAACAAAGAAGCGAAGGGAAAATTTGACAAAATCAACAGAATAGGGTGGCGAGGAATATCTTCGATCATTTTTACCCGAGGGAATTAAAAGAAATAGACGGAAACTGCCAGAGCGCGGCATGAATGACGGGAAGTGTCCAGCATGGGCACCAAAATGACCATAATCTGATGCCACAAAACATAAAATAAAATGCAAGAGCGGACACTTACTTGAACACCTCTCGACAGCCATTGGAGGGTCTATAGAAATCCAAGCTCACGAGAACAAGAATGTCTTGATCCTAAGGAGCCAAAAATATCAACCCAACTTGCAACTCTACAAACAGAATGATACGGCGGAATAATTCGATCAGTGATCCATCGATCTTATGACCGTACCTGACGGGACAAGTTCGCGTGCGTGATAACACATAGGAGAACTAGTATGTGACCGCGTGTTCATGGGAAAGCAAAGTGCAAGGCCCGCAGTGAGTAGCGGTCCGCCTCACACTAAGAAAACAGAAGGCACCTACTTTGCGATTGCAAACCTGAATGAAGCCGATGCATCCATGACTCTCATTCAGGAACGTAAGCATGTCAGAATAAAGTCCTTGGATTTCTTTAACTTGCTCCGGAAGGTTCTGCCATCGTTCAATATTCAGGCCTGTCTCGATGCGCTGTCAGGCAAAATAAGATGGAATGCGAGGGAACGTGCCTGGAAGAGTAAGCGTTTTTGCCCCACACGTCCTTCTTGTTGATGGCCTGAATAGGTATGGTGATGATAATGCTTTCTAATCTTGATAGAAAACCTGGACTCCCCACTCCTGTCGAGAAAGGTTTTCACCGCTGATATTTGGTCATCCTTGGTTGCAACTCTCATTATCCAGGTTACTGAGGCAATGCAATCTGAATGTCTCGCGAAAAACTCAGTCGAGGTACTGTGGGTTCCCACCATTATCGTCAAGACTTGGCGAATTGATGAGAACTATTCAAAGAGCCTTGCGAAGCGCTCTCTGTCTGTCTGGAGATTTGGCCCCGAGTATACAGACACTATGTCAGTGCAGAGCACGTTGTTTCATAGCCTGCGATCAGAAAAATCAAAATCTGACAGAAAATTTAGTCTGTGCTCATGTGCTGAGAATTGGAGGATTCGGGATTGGAGGCCACTGCATTGACGGTAAATTGCTGGAACATACCAAGAACGGTCAGGAGGTCCCTTTGTCTTGGAACATTCCTTTTTGTAAAAGCGCTCTAAAGGCGATAAGCTATAGCGCAATGCAATTGAGATCCATATGCACATGTGCGACGCCGCTGATTTACGACTCCGCCACAGGGCAAGATTCGTTAGCAGCGGAAGAGATGACTCGCTCACAAATAGTCATAGCAGGGGTATCCAAGTCTCGAATATAGGTCAAAGCGCTAGTTGCCGTGCAGCAGTGAAGATTACATAGTAGGCATTGGCTAATTTGTCGTTTGCCCCTGCTGAGGCGTTGGATTGCCATGGTGCCCAAACCCTGTAAGGGTAATGTTCAATACTTCATGAATATAACAAGTCTACAAAAAACTACCAGCAAGTTCAATGACGTCCAAGTTGCTTTTTATAACCAGACAATGCCATTCATGGATTGCGAACCATGCTCTTGGACGGCCTGAATCGAAATATCCTGCAGCTGCAAAGACGTACTTAGATCGGCAGTGGGCTATGATCTTGCCTGATCCGCTCTGTCCGAAAACACTGGATAGAGAGTTTTAATATACGCAGCCGTGAATGCCGGAGCCTAAAATACGGAAGCAGTGTGAACATAATCAGTAATTTTTTTGCAGTGCACATTCAAGGTTTCATCGAATGGGAGAAATCTTTTTCCGCGTGAAGGGAACGTGGAGGCCCCGGGCGGACCATAACCACGCTGCAGCCAACATTGACGCAGTGTCGGATGATATCATGACTGACCGATATTCTCCGCTGTGATTTCAATCCTGTAAGTGACGACAATTTTACTAAGCGTGGTGAACAAGCCTGACCCTGTGATTTGTGTTGGCCCCTTCATCACTATCAGTACTCCGAACTCGCCGGCACTCATACTGGCCAGGTTGTCGCAAACGAAGTCGGGTTTATGGTAAATGTCAGACTTCTCCGGTATGTAAGCGACAACAGTCAGGTCGGTCTCCATCAGCCGAGGTCCTCAAAGACATTCCATGACCATAAGTTGTACCATACCGAGCCTCCCAGTTAGCTTGAAGGAGATCGTGGTTTCCTTAATGGCATAGCATCTCCGCGAGATTACCAAAAGGTAGCGACAGAGCAGAATAGGCCGCGAAGCATGTGCAAGGAGGTATTGCCTGATGAGCAAGTGTATTATGTCTTTCAAGACATGACTTGAGAGGAGGATATCCAGAATACTGAGCTTAATTACAAGTTGTAACTGACATGGGCCTCCAAAACGCGGGGCTTAAAGCTTATAGGTTCATATTTAGAAAACGTCTCTCACGTTCCTTTACGATCCCGATTAATATTCTTCGCCGTGACTTATTTGAATCAGCTTGATGCTGCAGTCTTCTTCGCCAATCCACTGAATTAATGTCGAAACTCGAACCGATATATCAGCAGCTGTGTTCTCCTCTAGCTTCCGAGCTTCTCTCGATCCATCCGAACGACCTGGCAGCTTCTGGCTTTCAGCTTCCTGGAATTTGGAAGGGTTGGTGGGAATGGGCTACATCAATAGATGATGAAAACACACCGTACTTCCCAAGGTGGATGTCGATTCTCCATTACTATTCTGCGACGCCCGATGACCAGCGGACGGGGAACCAAGTCCCGAGTAATAAATCTTCAGTGGGCTTGCTTTGTGATGATCGGCGCGTGCAGACAGCATGCTCATCTTGCGATAGATCCCGCCCGATTTGAAAGTGCTCATCGATGACACTGTCCGCATCCAGTTGAATAGAGATCGTATTTCCATCGGGAACACCTCCGAGTCAGGTTAGTCACAATTCAGAGACCTATCAGGTGCTCTGAACAGCTTTCTCACTTATTGACTCATCGTAATGCTTTCTATGTCCAGGGAATGCTCATCGATCGTATGGAATGTCACCAAAAAAAGAGCACGAGGTCTCCAGGATGTCAGGATACATCGACCAACTTTTATGCCCAGGTTCTACGGATACACTAAGTCATGTTGTTGATGTGGGTTCAGGACAAGTTAGTATTTTTGTGCATATTTTCCATCTTAAAAGTTACAGGAATGCTTTGCCCAATAATCAATGGTTTTCTTTTCAGGGATATCTGTCTCGTGCGCTTCAGAATTTAGGTTTCCATGTGCTGGCTCTTGATTCCAATGAAATCCAGACCTCTGGGGCTGAGCGCTGGAAAGCAAAAGAAGCGGCAAGAAGGCAGAAGCAGTTTAAAAGGGGAAATGACGTCCAGAGTTTGCCCGACTCACAGCATCATTGCAACGATCCCCTTTTCCAATCACACGTGGCAACCTCTGTGCCTTCGGCTTCCATTGCCAGCAAAAACATAATACACAGCCGTACGGGTTCTCTTACCCATCAGACTATCTGCATCAATCCCCGTACACTTGAATCATCAATTCATGATTGGCTTCTCTTCGGTGAAGACAACCAAATCGCTGGTTGTACTAATATGATCGGAGATTTACTTGTCGATAGGACTGAGCAACGCACACCTGAGGAGAAGCCGGTCCCTGTGATGATGGTTGCCCTTCACGCCTGTGGATCGCTCACGCCTGATGTTCTTCGCGTGTTCTTGTCTAATTACCGTAGACCCTCAGCCCCCGGTATTCGCATTTGGACGGCGCAGGCACTCGTCGTAGTAGGATGCTGTTACAACTTGATGGCGTCTGAGGGTGAGCATCGGTTTTTATGGCTGGTTTAGGCGAGGTTTGCTACAACTGCACTGGTAGATTTTCCGCTGTCACGGTCGCTGCGTGAGCGAGTCCCAGTAGCAACACTTCCCCTTTCCTCTCGCCACCTGGCTGCACAGATACCATCTCAATGGCTCCGCAATGAAACGTCTACTCGTGAAACATCTCTGGCAATACGCAAGGTCGTTTTTCGAGCCCTCCTTCAGCCTGTTCTTCAAAAAATTGGTGCACTAGAAGCCTCCGCAAATCATACTGCAACCTCATCATATGATGTCGAAGAGCTCCGCGGCGTAGGTCAAACACCGGAAAATAGGCGGTTGGGAAAGCTCCCTGATGCTGCATACAAGGACTGGGAAACATTTCTGGATCGTGCAACTTCGAAGATTGGCGTTCGACTCGACCAGATTGCAACACAGCTTCCTGTTTATATTCATGACAAGCGTAGACGAATGCAGTTGGAAAGTGCTTTGTCGGTATTGCACGTGTTAAGGTGCATCATGGGACCTCTGATAGAATCCCTCATCCTCCTTGATAGGCATGAATGGATTCGGGAAGAGTCGAGTCGAAGTAGTGAAACACAGGAATCAAGCCCAATGGACGTTGAACTGGTAAACCTGTTTGACCAGGCAACAGGAAGTGGAAGGAACGTAGCTATTGTGATCAAGCCTTGTGAATGACTCAATATGATTTAACATTGCTTGAGCCAGTCAGACCACACCCTTCATTTCTGTACATCACAGTTGAACGTATGTTATGGATCGATTCAATTGATGTGAGAGCCTTGAAATGGCCATGAAAATATCTCTTTTCCGATCTTCACTACAATGGTATCCGCATCGAACCCTCCGATGTGGGCGGATGAGACTCTAGCACCGAATCGCTGGTTTAGCGTCGGGATTAGCTCAGATGGAAAGTGCGGAACACGCGGAAAACACTTGGCCTGAAATTGTTTATTAGATTCCCCGATGTCCCCGTTACTGCTTAAGTTGTTGTCCGATGTGCCTTCCACTATTGTAACCCCTTCATAAGCGCGAGAATGTCTTTTGGTGTTGGTGTCGCCGTTCACTGATGCATTAGGGTCAAGAAGAACCCATGCTATTGAAACGTGGAACCGTGGTTGGCTGTAGAAATCTCGTTGACGCAGGGACTGAAGGGTCGGCGACAATGCGGATAGCAAATCCCTCAACTATAACGAGTTAGCTTAAAATCAGGTTGATGTCACTGGGACGAACTTCATTATGACCGGCTCCTACCTCGAGGGAAAGGAACGCCCTCGTTCGTTCATCGTTCGTAAGTTCGGAAAACGTTGCGAATGAAGCCTGAAAACTTCGCATAACGATAAGAGACCGCAAGTAGGCAATGGATTGTACATATGGCGTACGGGGTTCGGCGTGAAGCAATCAGCTTTATGGCTCGTTTGAATCCTTCTCTTTGATGGGCGCGAAGAAATATCGGTCGAGTCAATGACAAGTGCAGCTCCCGCGCCCTGCGAGAACTATCGACTACCAAGCCACTAGTATTCTTACTGCATGAAACAATTTCCCCTATGGCATGAGCGGCCGGGACCATTCCCTTGATGACATCAAATACTTCATCGACCAACGAGTACAATGCAGTTCCAGGGTGCACGACGAGGGGAATGTAAACATATGCGGCATATTGGCCTTCTACGTGTGGGGTTGCACGAACTCGTCCTTGATGAAGAGCAGGATTATCGACGGGTACTGGTACGATGAAGGATGATGCAAGCGACGGTAGTTTCCTGTGCGTACATTGAGCAGCATGTGGCAAAGAGAGACGATGAAATGGTCAACTTCTTCTTTCTCTCTGGAGCATCGGCTGGAGCATCATCTTCTGAGCTAGAGTAAGTTACCAGGGCCCGTGATGCGCGCTTCATGTGGCACGACTCAGTAATGCTTTTTGTTATACAAACCGCGGACCGTAGTACAGCACCCGGCAGACCCCGCTACTACTTATCATTAATATTGCTGTACAAACTGAGTTTGAAACGCTGATCATTGCATTATCACTAGTTAAACATTGATTATGAGCGTTCAATTCATCAACAATCTAAACCAGTCAAGTCAAGCTCACTCGCACGAACCTGGCGGTGTACCTCACACTCACGATCATGGCGACCACGGACATACACACGAGCAGCTAGATCACCCAGGTTGGTTTCGTCATCGAGCGTATGGTCAATGCCAGTAATTTTGTTACATTCACTTTCTTGTAGGTAAATTCTCGGAGCGGGACCTTCCCGACTACTCTCTACGAAACTTCCAAGAAAGAGGCTTTACCGTCGGAATTGGTGGGTAAGTCGACAAGCTTACGATACCTATGTACCTACAGCGATCACCCATACAGCCCTGTTGGTTCCGGTAAAACCGCCTTAACCCTTGCGTTATGCAAGAAGCTTCGTAGTAAATATAACATCGGTGAGAAAATATATTATGATCTTCTGCATTTTGTGAAACTTCAATACACTCAGCTACTGTGACGAACGACATCTTCACTCGCGAAGACCAAGAATTCCTTATCAAGAATAAGGCACTCCCAACGCCTCGTATTCTAGCCATCGAGACTGGTGGCTGTCCTCATGCGGCAATCCGTGAGGATATCAGTGCGAACATGGGTGCTCTGGAGACACTTCAAGCGAAGTTTGGCTGTCAACTCCTTTTTGTGGAAAGTGGAGGAGATAACTTAGCTGCCAATTATTCCCGGGAATTAGCTGACTACATCATATATGTAATAGACGTGGCGGTATGTCTGTCAGACTCTCAATGAAGTTCTATCTCATGTGCATTTCCAGGGAGGAGACAAGATTCCCCGTAAAGGTGGACCAGGAATTTCGCAGTCTGACCTTTTGGTAATCAACAAGGTTAGTCAAAAAATTCATTCAAACACCATATCTTCTCACTGCAGAGGTTCAAGATCGACATCGCGCAATATGTTGACGCATCTCTTGATGTGATGAGACGTGATTCGAAACTCATGCGTGGAGACGGCCCAACTATCTTCACGAGCATAAAGAACGACAAAGGCGTCGACGACATCGTGGAACTTATCTTAGGCGCTTGGCGAACAGCTGGCGAACCCGGCATACAAGGTGCAGTGGGCGATAATGAGTGAGGGGCAATCAAAGAACGCTTGAAAGGATTGTGATATGACGGGTGAGGAGATGATAAAACGAATGCTATAAAGAACTGTAAGCGGCTGCATTTGTACTGTATCGCGGTGTTAAGCATAACACCGTTGAATTTCTTTTCAAGTGCCAGGTGGGCACTCTATACAAGAGTGGATTTTCAGGTCATGTTGTCTGATCCTCCTGGAACATACCACTCCAACGATGTTACTCGTCTCTGGCTGCATAGAGCTGCGGTTTGTCCACGTCATATCACAAAGGACCACTTCACCGGCCTTCTGTAAATATAGTAGCACTTCGAGTTTAAGCTTTAAAGTGCTGCTACCGTGACAGCCTGACTCCTGCCGAGTCCTGCGAGGCTTGTAAACTTTTTTCTCAACTATTTATTTTGCGACAGCAGTACTTGAGCTTCAAGCTTCATTATGGCTTATATGGATTGAATTATTCTGTCATACATGTAGTACAACTCAAGTACAGCTCGACAATACATAAACCGAAATTCCATTTCGATGACGTAATCGCTGTTGCTCTCAGTTTCATTAAGCGCCGTACAGTACCAAGCTTTCATCCATGATGGACGCTCAGTCAAATAACCATCCGTACACGATTGTGCGTATCAAGCGCAAACGCACGGATGAACCGCTCGACGCACTTGGTGTGTTACTCGTGCCACCCGTTCGTAAAGTCAAGTTCTTATGTAACATTAGTCGTCGAGTCCCGGGTTCGCAAAAAGAAGTCAAAAGGTGGTCGCGATGTTTTTCAGTTTGTTCAAACCGTTGAGAAGACCGTCTGGGAGGATAAGCAACTGCAGGAGACGCTACAGGTGAGTTACGTTCTATCACTCGTCGCGTTCGCGTTTCATAGGAGTTCTATCATCCCTGCAGAACCAAATATCAAGATTGTCGCAAAGCCACGATGAACATAACATCCAGCCCTCTGCACCTGCGGATGTCACGAACCTGTCTGGGGCCCAACGCCATCGGCAATCAGCTGATGAAGGAAGACGCTACACAATCGTTCCTACACGCGAATCTACTGAAAATACCAAGTTTGCTACCAGTCCGTGAGTCTTCCCATGATGTTGCCAGATAATTGTCTAAGCTAGGATAGTCCAAAGGTCATACCTGCGAAAGATGTTCAATCGCAAAGTGACTTCAGGATGTACGATGCCGTTCCAGCTGATACGAAGCCTATCTTTGACTCCGACATGGAAAATTTCTTACCCATGCTACAAAATTACTTGCGCAGTAAGATTTCCTTCTCGTGATGTCTTGAATGCCCATGCCCATGATTTCCAGTGAATGATGAGCCCTCGCAAGTTCTCTCAGCTGCTCCCCCAGTGGAGGACTATGTTTGGGACGTGTTCTACAGGCGCCCTTGCACTCTCAGTGAATGGAATTCAGTTGCTAATATCGGAACGCTGTAAGTTACCTAGCTTAATGCGCGATGATGTCATTGGCTTAAATGTTGTTGCGCTTGCAGTGAAGGCCTTCCTCCCTCACTAGATGATCCTTACTCTAGTGACTCGGATTCCGAGGAGGAAGATAATGCTGACGAAGACTCAAATGGTATATCTGTAGTTTGGCATCAAAGCCTTCATCTGATGCAATATTTCCCAGCCGAGGAATATTACAAGAATGACTATCCAGATGAGGATGATTCGGATGACAGTGAGGGAAGTGGTACGTTTTCCGTAGCTTCATTCAAAAGTTAGTCTGAGATCTGCCCATAGATATTTTTCATGAAAGCTCTGAAGCGGAAGACGATCTTCAGTACGACAATAGAGACGAAGACAACTATTGGAGGTAAGGAATTTGTTCATAGAATTTGAATTTGTGGCATAAGGATGGACACAACACACATTGTACTACAATTTGCACAATTATACAACATCGTCACAACTTACAGCTACATTCGTTCTTAGCTTCTTAGATTCCTCGGCGTCTTCATCTTCGCATGGTCGAGTCACATACTTGAGGTGTCTTTGAGCATGAGCTAACATCTACATTAAAATCCAATCGGAGCAAACGCGCAAAGAGATCACATACTGCGCTAGGATGCCTTGATCGCCGCCTCCCAAACTTACCAATCGTCAATAGTCCGAGGAAAACCAGGGTGATACCCATTAATACAACAACTGCGAGAGTTAAACCCGCGCCAAGGACGCCGGCTCCAGCTGGACTGATTTTGGGTCGAGCAGCTGCTTCTCCTTGAGCTGTCGCAAGAGCAAGAGGAGAGCAAGGCATGTCTTGGGTATTGGCACAAACGCTGCACCAATCTGCCGTGGTGTTTACCGCGACAGGCTGGCGGAGTATAATCAATACCAGGTAAGTTTAGAGCAGCCACCTTGACTCACAGCCACGGCATCAATGAAGGCAGATAACGGGACATCTCCTGTGAGGTCGAGGAAGTTGTATGTTACGAAGGTTGCGTCACTGGTTCCGTTTTTGAAGTTGAAACGGATGACAGGTTCACCACCCCCAGAAGGTTGACGCAGTTCTAAAGCAACGGCGGCAGCATAATTGACTGTTTACGTGTTAGTCAAGCTCACGACGAACATAGAACTGGTATACTGACCAATGCCTGCAAGACTCGGGTTTGCACTAGAAACACCTGTCATGTTAAAGAGGGAGATGAAAGGTTTGTATGAAATGGCCGTAATCGATAACGGTACAGGATTTGTAGAATTCATGATATTTGCAAATCCACTGAGAATCGATGGCAGAATAGCCGTACCGGCAACTAGGGACGAACGTCACAAATTAGCGATTTCCCCCCAAAACTAGACATACTGTTCCCGATGCCTCCAATGGACTGGTCGCTAAAGACGTTGTACTCGTGCCAATTAGCTAAAGCTTGTACTTGCGCCATGTATGTGGGTGGGAGAGCCTCGGCAAAGGTGGCATTGTGGATATTATTCACATTCATAAAGTCGAATATCTGTTGGCGAGTTCAGCCTGTCGCTGCTGCATCAAGAGTAGGTAAGCATACATTCCACTGCAACAATCAGGGTCAGAACACGGATGAAATGTGACTAGCTCGCAACATACCATATTCTCTAGCTGGACTGATCTTCCATTTAGATAAGGAGGCAGAGAGTCCAAGAAAGGTGCGCTTTGTTCAGCCATCTCTTGAAAGATGGATGAATTGTAAAAATCTGTCGTATGTGTGTTGAAGGTCTGGAAAACATTATCATTATGAGAAAATTTAAACCGATTTTTTTGACAAACATTGCAATTAGTGAAACCTTCCAATATTGGACTCAGGCTGGGATCCACAGCATCGACTACCCTGTGTGAGCACTGGGCGCTTGCCGAGGTATCTGCAAGAACTCACTAGGTACATACTTTGCAACATGCCAGTCAGGGGGACGCGAGACTCACACCACAAGTAACACATACCTGATACCCTCCGAGGGGAGCCGTGATCGTTGTCCCATTAGCGAGGGTGACATTGTTCGAGAGCGTGGCAGGCCAAAGTCCCTGCGTTACTGATACACAGGAATCATATATAACTCCACCTTCGTCTCCACAGTCTGCTTGAATGAACACCTGGGCCGGATTGAATAGCCCTGTGCTCATGCCAGGGAGGTACGAAGGTGATGACTGATTCAAGTATAATGAACGTAGGTAGCTACCGAGCATATACTCTTGTTGCTAAAAGAAGTCAATGAGATACGGTGCACATGGTCCAGAATTACTGACGTACATTGCCCAGAGGAGTGATCACCGTACCAGTTGCAGTATAGGTATCAGGGTTTTGATAAAAACCTTGTCGATCACCGTGACGCACGAGTAACACGACGCCCAATATTTCGTTGTCAGTATCTTGTGACATGATAACCGTATACTGATGATTGCGTCGTACTCGGAGGACCAGGAAGGGCAACTGCCAGTGAATCTGTAAACAAGAGCACTTGCCGGGGAACAGACTCGTAGTGGCACTGGTCTGCCATTTAAACCATCGATCTCGTGATCGTGACAATTATAACTTCGAATTCGGATCGTGTTACAAGTTCGAATATGATAATGATTACTATTTGCGCCCAGGCCCAGGACGCCGCAGGTCCATGCGTCAAAATCTTACATTGACAATCGTGTAGTCTCGACGGCGAACTGGATACAATATGGTGCCACCATGGACTGGTCCTGGGCTGACTTGCAGTGGGTGATGTTATTTTTTCGAGAATGGGCGATCGTAGCGGCATGAGCACTAGTTTCCGAGACTCCAAATTATCAGTGGTTTGGACGAGCTGAACTTACTTATTTTGCAACCTGTTGCAACCCATAAGGATCAGTGTTATCAGCGTCCCCCTAGATCCCCTTTCTGGCTGGTTACATACCCGTGCACATGTGGCATGGATTGATGGTGCGATACAGATTGCGATAAAATGCGTCGGCAGCACCCGGACGAGGACACCGTAAGCACCTGATTGCAGCAGATGCTTACCAGTCTACTAGGCTACTTTACGAAAAGAGTTGTGATATACTTACAAGTTACGGGGTCCTTATCCGAACTCCGCACGGCGGAATCAGCTTGTGAGCCTGTAAACATTCACACGTACTCCTTACGTCACCTTCGAACACTTTTCTCAAATTCGCAGACTCTCGTCCGAATCAGCAGAGGTTGATTTTCGGCCCAGCAGGAGTCGAATTTCGAAATGATCTTTAAGAAATGGATCTCCTTGACCACTGCGGCCATGCACGATACTATGTTACTTTCTCCGGCTTGACGAAGACGTCATTGCGAGAGGACCATGTATCTGTGTGAATCATGCCATGCCATCATGGCGGCCCAACTAGTGCGTATCTGTCGCCATTGTACCGTTTTCTTGGACCAGGAACATCCCCTGGTACCATAGTATGATTACCATGAAACCTCTTAGTGCCTGATTACTTTCGAACGGTATCAGGTACGCTCCCCTAGCCAGACCACATACTACTCCTTCGAGGTAGGGACATATGGGGTATTCGCGAGTAAAAATGTGGCATGACTCACCCCAAGTGTCACGAATCTCTGTCTAAACACATTCCGGTGGTGCACTATACAAGTTTGTCTTCGATCTTCCTATTCACCGCATACACTAAAACTTACATTTGACTGGGCAAACAGCTGCAACGCAGAACTTATCGTGATTAGGCAGCGCCTCGACGACCAAATAAGTGGCAAGCCAAACGAGACACATCATCACCACGCAAGCAACTTGGGTCTCAATAATGGGGCGGCGTCCAATCCTACACAGTGCAGTTAACAGAGCCACACTGATCTCTAAACTCGTCACGATAGCCCCCGAGGCTCATGTTAAAGCTTGTCTTCCTTGACGACAGAGACTCACCCTCAGCCTCTCGGTCCTCAGACTCCTTTTCATCCATTTCTATGGCCCTTTATGGCTGCATGTAATCATTTACTGCTTGAAGATGTGTTGCGAGGTGAGAATTGGATTCCACCCAAGATGATCCATTACTTAATTAATCAGACATCGATAGACGGAAGTCAGTCCTTCTTGATCTACCAATACTCGTGCCAACATTTATATGCAGGTGGTTCGTTCGTATCCGCATTGACGACGCTGCAGCATGGTAACTATGGCGGTAAGATATTCAACCCACAATGCAATGATTAGCCGACCCCGATGCTTCAAGATCTGTCCATCAAGAATATCACGCCTGGACAATCACCTTCGGTTTCGCGAAGCTGGCTAAATGATTGTCCCACTTCTCATCTGAGGGTATTCAGAGTTGTTCTCGCGCTTTGGTGTATGAGAGAATACCGGAATTCGAGGTCAGCTTATAATATCCCCACACTTGTACCTGGGAATCGCGTCGTGACAGTAAGACTCATGATAAGAAGTACTTACTTCCTGCAGTCTATAAGTATCACGGTGTTCTGACGACTTGAAGTCACACGTCTCAAGAAGGATCGTGGGATATACCCCAAGGTCAAGGCTCCCTAGGCCCATCAGTGATTCGGATTGTATTCAAAGCAACTGTGTATAGCAACCATATTAATCTGCTGACCATGTATGTGTGGCATGCGTCGAGAGCGGAACTCACACCATATTGATAAGGAAGAGGAGCACCCCAAAGCACCTTCATCACTTATGGTGACTGCGCAAACACGAAGATCTCAGATCTGAAGGTATCAACTCGCTCCTTTGGAGACAGATGGAGACGTATCTAGATAATACTTGCATGCATGCACGCGCATTGAACACGGTACGGTATGATTAATCTGACCATGGCACGAAATCCCCTCTCCCCGTAGACACCTAGACATTTTCGCAGGTACTACTGTACCATCGACTCAATTCCCCACCGGTTGGCGCCTTCATTGCTCTAATGCCTTAACCGGTATGAAACGATGATACACTATATGGACATCTAGACGATACAAGGAACGCACACTGCACGTACTGTCTACCCATGTAGGGCAATGTCACCATGATTACAATAAATGGGAAATACAGTATAGCACTTCAACATCATACACGAGAGTAATGGACAGCTAGAGAATGAGCAGTTAGAAAACGCTCAAGCCGTGTGTAGAGATCCCCCAACAGATTCCATCGTCTGCGTCAAGCACATGCCAGTGAGCTTTCGAACGAGAGTAAGAGCGATGAACTCACAAATGGAGAAGCTGTGGGGCCATCGAGGATAGAAAGCTCTTCCTGCGTGAAGGGGAGCCGCGGGATTATGTAGGCTCGAAGAGGAACAAGAAGCAAAATCATGACCGGAAAGCCGAGAGCAGCTGCTCCAAAATTAAGCAAAATCGCAACCTATAGATGACGAACGATTTACCGATGGACTGAGTA